TCAAGCTCCTTTTCCAGTGGCTGTGATTAAAAAGTTATGTGAAATGAATTTAGGGGCTTATTGACAGAAAATATTACTGTAAATGGTGGTGAAAAGCTATTCCACAGAGAATACTCTTTATTGCATGGAGTTTGCCAGAATTTATAGGATGCAAACTAAAAACTGTGGGTTTAGAGACCATTTGAGGAAATAGCTTCACTCCTAACACCACGTTTTGAGGCTTCTGCAGAAAGCAGAATTTAATACAGAAACTGGTGAGACAGTGGAATTTTATTCTGTGAACTTTCAGGCCCTTAAGGAGCAGGAATTAATGGAGGAACCACACTAAGTCAACCAGTAGATGTTTTTGTTACTTACACAGTTTCCATGTCAGCTGAAATACAGTTAACCATAAACAGAATAACCAGTGACATGGTATAGCCCATGCCATGTGTCACTGAAGAATGCAATTAGCCATCATGCAAAAGCAACTTTATTACAGTAGCTCATACTATAAACTGAGCACTGACTAGAAATCCAGAAATACGCTTTTGGGAGCACGCTAGACTTGCGTTTTCCATTCCTGAGAATACTGTGGTCAGCTTCAGATTTCACGGAAGTAAACAAAGAAGTCCTCATTGTTTCTTTTTATGAGAGTAGGCTTTTAAAAATTGGGGAGGGGAGAAAGCAAATCTGCTGCTAGCAGGCATTACAATACTCTCTAGTGCTTTATAAACCTACTCTGTGGAAGTAAGAGCAAGTGCTAATGCTGTTCCAGCTGGAGGGGAAGCTGACCAGTGTCCTCAGACCATCAGTCTGTTAGGATGTGTCATGTTCCAGCTGTGCCCCTGTGCTATATGTGAGGTGCTCCCTATGGCAGGGGCGTAGGCCACGAACTCTCTTTGTTTACAGCCTCCTTTCTGCACAAGGGACCCTTCTGGCAGGAAGGATACAATAGCCTATCTTCTCAGGCTCCGTAACTCAGCCAGGTAGAGGGGCTATGATCATTTATGCCAGCTGAAAGGATTTGGCCTCTTCCTAAACTGTATGGTATTGAGTGGGTTTAGATAACGTACAAATAGCCATGCAAATGTAATTTAATACCAGATGACTACATCCCTGCAACTACGCCTAATCTGTATGAACCCTTCTGCAAGTTCTTTTTCGAGTTGCTCATATTTTGTTCAGCTAGAGGTTTTGTCCTGCTACAACTAAGTAATAGTTGCTGAACTCTTTAGACAAATTATATAAATTCACAAAATGCTTTGAGATTACTGAATGAATAATGTAATGGGAAATAAAAGCCTCCATGGCCGTTGTGATCTATATGGAGCATAACCAACTTTGGAGCATAACTTCACTTTGGAGCCCCTTCAACTTGGGACAAAGGTGAACTTGATGGGTTCTGAAAACTACCAGCTCATTCTAAAGAGGGTCATTTTAATTTCTAAAGGGGTTTCCTTGAAGACTTCTCCACAAGGAGTCTCACCCAGCATGCGGTTAATCACCACTCATTCTAAATGAAGGCAGAGGGCTTCTGTGCTTCACAAGAGTGACACATCTTCATGACGAATCCTATGGAGTGCTTAAATGTATCCTGAATAACCCAACAACTATGTCGTTCTGTAAGAAATAGTCAAGTAGGAATGGACAGTTGCAGAAACCGAATGTTGAGTTAGCAAAAAACATATCTGCTCTGATTCTACTATGCATATTCACTCAAAATGATGTCACTACCTGATTAAAACAAGCCATCATTGCACCATTTTCCCATGATAAGTACTCTGCTTCCAGTTATCCAATCATATATGATTTCAATATGGTATAAATTATTCAAATTAATTTCTAATAGAAGTATATCTGGAAAAATAACCTAGGTTGACAGAGGAAGAGGTGGCAGCTATCAGACAACAAGACTTCTGTGAATCATTCACTCTTCTCAGTGGTCACAAATGTCTCATGTGATAAAGAATTTGCTCTAACAAAGACAGCAGAACAAACATGATGGCATTTTAATTCAGGGCATATTTCTTCTGCATGCATGTTACTGGTAATGTGAGTTCTGTGTGGGTCTAGACAACGGCCATGACAGCGTAGTTCCTGGGAAAAAAAAATCTAAAGAAATTCACGAGAAAAGAGGGATTCAGAATTAGAAGGAATAGAGTTATTAAAAATAATAATCCATTTTCTCTGGTAAGCTAGCAAGTGGAAACAAGAACATGCAACGTCTTTGCATCTAGACATCAAGACAACAGAGAGTTTGCGTGCAGGTGTGATCTGTCTAGAGCGGGTGGGTGAGAAGCCCGGGTGAAACTCGGGCTACGCTCTTGTGAGCCTCTGTGTGGTGATGAAAGCAAAGCAGTAACTCACTGCTGGTATAGAGGAGCAAACCCCTTACCTTCCCTTGCAGATAGAAAAGAAATCCTTACTTCCTGCATCATGGTACATAAACCATCTCTTTACGCTGGAGATCCCTCCCCACGAAGGGTATTATTATCTGAAGTGCAATGCTGCTTAAGGGTGACAAGCTTCTACCGAGTTCCCACACTTCCTTGTATTCACTGGTAATGGAGGAGTTTCTCATGTAGAGGGAACACAATTACAACAGGTGGATACAAACACACAGAAGAAAAAGACCTACTGAAAACATGGCAAAACTGATCAGCATAACAAAGTGATAGCAGCATCCAACCTGACAGCTTAAGGGGAACGGAGAATAGTCCCATAACAGACTGTAGTATGGTAATCATTATCTCTGAAGGAGTATTTGCTTGCTGGTCATCTGAGGTGGGAATTGCTAGGGTGTGGGTGGAGGAAAAAACCCCTTTGACTGCATTGTTTGCTACACTGCTGACTGTGGAGCTTTATTTCTCTAATGTTTTGCATGGTAACTATGTTTGCACATGGTAACGAGCTGTCTGCAGGGTTCTCTGATGTTTATGACAATCACTGCTGGGATCTTGATTGACTCGGGGAGCAAAGCATGATGTTGTCTGAGCATGTTAACTGATCAATGTTGCTGCCTACAGGCCAAGAAAGGTTGGGGTCCCCTGCCTAATGCCAACTCAAATTTGGCGCTTGTCATTTATAGGCATGCAAAGCAGTGTTACATTTTTTTCTTTTCTTTGATCATATTCAGTAACTATAAATCCCCAGGGTGAAACCTTAACTCCACAGAAATTAAGAGCAAAACTCCCTTCAGTGGTGCTAGGTTTATGGTGAAAGTTGTCTTTTTCTTTCTTAAACAATTTGTGTAATTGCTAGAGAGCTGTATTTATCTCCCTCCCCTCACAGCAAATAAAATGTCAGTCTTCACCATCAGGTAGTCTACTGAAAACAGCCAGCGCGGTCTGTTCAGGGTGTTGAGGGCCGATAATAAAATTACAGCCCAATAATTTTGTATTTTTCTCCTGTTATCTGCAATGCACAGCATGTGTTATGTGTGCTGCTCCACTGGGACCATCGTAAACCTTTAGCCAGCTCTTTCGTTTGAACGTACTTAGTGGGAGGTGACAGGTGCACTATTACAAAAAGATCCTGAAACTTTATCATAATGTATTCAGCAAGGTGATAATGTAAAACCCACTGGGAAATAGAGGTGAAGGAGAAATTCCACACCTGGGAACTTATTTAATGCTTAAAGACAGGAAATGCTTTAGAGGGGAAAATATCTCTGATCTGTCTAATCCACTGCCCCAAACTCATTACCCCGAAGCCCCTGGGTGAAGGAGGTAGGTAGAGGAGGTGACCTGCAGCTCACCTCGGCTGCCATGGGTCCCTCCAGCTTGTGTGCCAGCTGGAGCAGTGAGGCACCTTAAATTGACACAGCTGCCACTTATTTTCATGGTGTGACCCTGGGACAAGGGAGACTTTGAGTGAGATTGGACTCAGACACGTACTGGAAAACTCACTAGCACAAAAGGGAGGGAGATCATGAGGTGAGGGACACTTCTCCAACTGCAGCCAAAACCATCACAAACAAGTCCTGTATTGATTTCCAACCTGGACCAGTCCCATTCGCTTCAATACTTCAGTTTCCTTTCAGGTTATTTAGATTTCTACTTCTTCACTGAAGTTTTCTGTAGAAAGTGTAATATAATAGCATAGACTAGATTAGTCGAGACCAGAACCTGGTGCTGCGTTTGGCTGCACGTTGCGCTTGGTTGCATGTGTGAGCATCAGCTCCTTTGTGGACCTCAGTGCTCACTATGCAGTAACTTGTCTTGGCCATCACAGCTGTGTTTTCTCCCCAGGCAACCTAATCTTTGCTTGATTTCGTTGGTTGGTTGGTTTCCCATGAAGCTACCTTTAAAAGGAATAGAAAATAACAGCGTATTCTCTCTGAGTGCATGGTGCTTGGGAAGCGGGGTGGCTGGGACTGGACTCAACTCCCTCTCCCAGCGTCATCGCGAAAATTCTGGTCCTCCTGATTGAGCCCCGCGGGCC